GTCACATCAAACAAATGCCTCAACCTGACACCTTGGTGACTCTTTCTTCCATGGATGTTTTTACTTATACTTTTAATTTCTGCCGAGCATATGAAGAGCAGTTCTAGAGTTCAGGCTTGGAAATAATCCTTCCTTCATTGGACTGATTTTAAACACGACATTGCAATCTGACAAATGTCTATGAATTGAATGGCAGAGATTTTTTTTTTCCCTTCCACACCAGTCTTCCCTTGAATTGCTCCATTTGAAAACTAAAATCTCTTTCCCCCAGCCGCTGGAACACTCCACCCGAGGCTTTCAGTCCAGCACCGCTTTTCCTGCCCCGGCCAGCCCACCCTGGAAATTAAGATCCTACAATTGGAAATTGGCTGACAACTGGGTTGCTGATGCAGGAGGCAGATGGTGCTAAGAACGGGATGGAGTCCAACTCCCTTTTCCATTCCAGGCTTGGCTCTGAAGGGCTAATCAGCAGAGAACCTGAGCTTGACAGCTGATTGTCAGTGTGACACAGGGAAAGAGCAGTCACTAAACTATGTCTGCAGCAGCCACTTCTCCACAGCTTTCCCTTCTTCTGGTCATGACCTTTGAAAATATAGGAGAAGTTGTCCAAGAGGACGTCTGAGAAACCTTCCAGTCTGAAACACTTCAGAGTAAACAGCTTTGATGATGTCCATTAGGGAAATACTTTTATTTAGTCTCTACAAATAGCACTAGGAAGTCATAATGGAAATATTGGATGAATAGCCACTTCACTGGGGTGAAGGCGAGCACATAAAAGCTTTTCCTCAAATTGTAAACCTGCTAGGACAGAGTTCTTAGAGGAGGGAGATGCAACCCAGGGTCTAGTTCTCGGCAACCACATCTCCAGTTTGAATCTGTGGCACCAGTCCAAGGGCAAGAGCCTTATGATGTGGGCCAGAGAGAAAACTGAGTCCCCAGAGGCTTATATTTCTGCTTTCCCAGACTTAAGTCCACCGATGGGGACAGTTAATTGAGCATTAAGTTCCAAGAGCCCGGAGATGGAATGACAAGTAGCTGCGGGGTTCGCACCTCCCAGAGACACGGGAGAAGCTAGAGCAGGGCTTTTAGGAGACCCAGCCAGCCAGTGCTGAAATGGCCCTAGTCTGCAGGACCCATGGGCTTGCAAGGTGCCACTTTTGACCACCTTAGGGCCGTGTCCCAGAACCTCTCTCCCCTTCGTCCCTGCTCTTCCCTGAGCATCTGCTGTGGATTCGGAGAAGCCATTGAATTGAAATGCCATCGTGCACGTTTTAGTTCAATTCACAGCATCCTCTTCCTGATAGTTCAGGTGCTGTGTTAACCAGCTGCTCTTCCACACAGATCCACTAGATGTCCTCACAGATCTACTTGGTATTACCGTTGAGCTCAGGGAAAATTCCCTTTTCTGAGGCCTGAGACTGGGGAGGAGAGCATTGGGCTACGAGGTTAAAAAGAAAACCAGCAAACACCACCCGAGAGAGGGCACTTCCTATGGCCAGGGAGAATATAGGAAACTTACTCCTGTTTTAAATAAATGCTGAAACTTGCAAAATCGCTCTTTGAAACCTAACCTTGGGAGTTTTTAAGTGGTACGCTGGTATCTGAAATTAACCTTTGAACCTACATCAGCTCTAGAAAAGGAAATGATCATGGAGGCGTGGAACTAAAATACCAGTGGTTCTGAATCTTCACGATTCACTAAAACAAAACCGAAGGATTAGGAAGCCAAAGAGAGAGCGAAGGGGGGAATGAAGGATGGTATTTTCTGAAGGAGGAAGTCCACGACTTAATTTTGATAGAATTTTATTTTACAACTCGAGAGCGTAATTTTACACACAGAGTGTCCACATCTTCTGGAATAGCGACCGCCCAGGAGGCACATTCTCATCCATTTTTAGTTAAAGAGCTTGTTGGTGACTCACATCATGACCCAGAGGGAGGCTCTTCCTGGCTGGAACACACGTCCTTCAAAGCCTGACGGATCACAGCCACCAGTCGGGAGGTCAGAATGGGCCTCACCTCTTGAGAAAGTGGACACAGACGTTTAGAGGTGAAGACATCTGACAAGGGGTCGGTGAAAATGGATTATTCCAGAAGTAGAGTAAAAAAAAGCCCACCTCCCTTGGTCTAGACATTGTCATTCACAGAGGTTTGTCAGTGTGTGGGGGCTCCATCATTTTTAACTGTTTCTGTCTTGTCTTTGAGCCTTTCATTAATATCATTCTTGCTGATTGTGTGTGTGTGTGTGTGTGTGTGTGTTTGTGGTGGTGCTTGTTTGTCTTCTGAGATTTCTATTTTGAATTTGGTGTGAGTGTGTGAAACTGATGACTGGGAAGGAATGACGAGAAATAGCATGTTTTCTTTTTTATGCATATGCTGCTTGGAATGTGAGTGCTTATAATTAACATTGAATCTTCTTATAGCAAATGGGGTTTTGGGGGGAGGGGTTTGCTGCTTCAATGACCAGTTTCAGCCTGTGCCTGCATGCTAACACTATGAAATTTTAGAATAATGCATGGTCTCCAGAGGGGCCAACAATCACAATTGCAAACCGTCCCTGAGAGGTACTGGTTTGAAGTTGTTTCCTCCTGTACCCTTAGCAAGTGGGAGGTTTCAGTCACCCATTATGATGGGCTTGCCTCTGACAAAGTCGTTTCGAGTTATTCCACCCCCATCCTCCCTCCCCTTGTTCTTAAAGACAGTGTGTGTGTGTGTGTGTGTGTGTATTTGTGTATGTGTGTATGTGTGTGTGTATATGTATATACACATACATATATATACATATATATACATATATATATATGAGCTTTCTTTCCCTATAAATGTGTCAGAGTCTATTATGGTATACGAACCCAAAAATGGTGTATGGAAACAAAAACCAGGCACGGTTGCTAATGAGAAGCATAGCATTTCAGAGTTTGATGGGCTTCTCTTCTGCTACAGCATTTGATTAAAATTTTTTTTTCCAAAACAGTTTATCTACAGTGAAACAAAACATCATCTTTATTTCCCTCCTCTGTATAAATAACCCATCCATATTTCCAGTAAAAGAACTAAGAAGGAATAAAACAAGCAAGTGGTCTGCAAGTGGTCCCCCAGATCTGGATGTACTTAAAATAACTTTATTTTCATGTCTTCAGCTGAAGACTGTTTTCCCTTTCTTGACTTCAGCAACTGCTGTTTGGGGTGTCTGGGCAATCACAGCATGCCTCCTAAATTCTGATTCAAATGCTATAGTGGAACTTTTTTTTTTTTTTTTTTTTTTGGTAAAAGCTGAGCTCAGGAACGATGTACCCTGCCTTGAACAGGGGTGGGGCTGCATCATGATGATCTGAACAGCTGACTGGCTAGGATGCTCAAAGAACACGTCACTAAAGATGTGAGCCAGGGTTGCGGGACTGGTGTTGCTGCTGAAGCGATTCTCATTCATCTCCCCCAGCGCCTGTTCCTCACGATCATAACGTTACCCCTGCTTGACAAATATACTGTATGGCAACTCATAAAGGTCTTAGAACAGGACTTGACCCATTCAAGAGATTTAAACCCCTCTTCCTGGTGACTGGAACATTCAAAGAGGGCAAAACCACTAGTCATATTTTAAAGTAAGAGTGCCACCATTCTCCACAAAGGAAAGGAAAAAAAAAGATGGAAAAATGACTCTTAGAATGGAAGGTGTGGACACAGGGAATAACACCTTTTCCCTTGCAAGTTGCTATTTGGCTGTGATGCTCAGAGGAAACATGAATTCTTCTCCCATCTTGTGAGAGAGGCAGGCAGGTTTATGTCAAGAATAAGCAAAGGTGGTGGCCTGCTGCAGCATCAGAATGAGGTGGAAAATGCTTCTCGTTGTACTGAAATAGAAATTGGCATTGTACTGAAATATAAGATGAAGTGCCCTGAGAATGACCGCAGTGATGTCCAGCAACTCTGGTACGTTAGCGCTCAAGCTGGACTCCCAGGCAGCGTAGAACCTTTGATACCAGCTCTAGAAGAGCTACCACTGCCTCGTGCAAATCTCAACAAGATATTTTACATGGGATCTGTTCTCTCATTTCATGTTTCATAATTTTTCATCTATTTTGGCCAGTATTTTCTGTATAGGAAAAAACTAATCATTAACTGGTAGCCCAGTTGCCTTCTGAATTTTTGGTAGGTGGGGAGAGAAAAGCAGATGCGATCTTCAGATTCTCTCAGCTTTCAGCAGAAAAATACACCCATGAGTAGCTAAATGAATTCCAGCAGACCCACATCTCATATGCTTTTGGTGATTCCTGATTTGCAAACTGCCTTTAATGTCAAATACGCAGCGTTAGCCTTGAGTAGCTGCATTTCTTACATGGACAGATTTGGATATTTGTTCTGTCAAGAGTAAATTTAAATTCCTGTAGGCATCATGTAAACTCACTCTGGGGAAGTTCAGCAGAGGCAGCCTCAGATTCTACATTAACACGTAATCGTTTCACATCAAATTAGATGCAAGCTTGTCCCGGCCTCTGCCTAATGCCCAGAAATGGATGGAAGTTAGAAAGCCGACATACTAGATATTTTTGCATCTTGCAAAAAACCACTTATTGGACCAAATCAGCAATTAATTGATCGGCTGTGTGTATATTTTGTCCTCCTCTATCAATCGCACCAGGGGAAACGGTGTTGGTTACACTTCTGCTGTCTACACGCGTGCTGCTTCTCATCCGACAACCCGGTTGTCGTCAGCCCTGCCCTTTCCCGTGGTCACCCGCTTTACTTAGCGGAGAAAAACCATGTGCAATAGATAGCCTTGGGGGACTATAAAGGCAATTTGTATTTTCTCTGCTTTTTCCGATGTCCGACTGAACTGTTGCCAACAGTCACTCTGCATTTTTTTTCCCCTGGGTCAAGACTGTTATGTGAACTAAGACCTGTGTTCACTCCCTTCAGCTCCCTTCCAGCTGCCTTGCTGTGTGTGACCTTGTCATTAACTACCGCTCTTCCTCTCCTCCCATCCAACCACACGGTGATAGCCAAGATGTCCATCTACCGGAGAATGAGACGGGCATGTTGTTTTGATTGCGGACGTTCTGAGCGTGACTGCTCATGCATGTCAGGCCGTGTGCGTGGTAACGTGGACACCCTTGAGAGAGCCTTCCCACTTTCTTCTGTCTCTGTTAATGATTGCTCCACCAGTTTCCGTGCCTGTAAGTTTAACCCCAACACACGCACTTCCGTGTCTGTGCTGTCTGTGGTACCATCCCCGTCTTGTGTTGTGCCCTGTGGTTCTGTGTGTCCGTCGGGCTGCTGTTTTCTTCCCGCTGTGACCGTGTATGTGGTGATGTGACGCCCATGCTGCCTGTGTCCCTGTGTACATGCCGGGGAGGCCTCGCTCCTGGTTCTGTGAACTTGCTGTGTTTTCTTGTAACAGTGCGTAGTCTGTGATCTTATAACCTGGTGATATTACTCCTCTCTCCTTTAAAAGCATATAAATTGGAAATTAATGTGACTGCAAATCAAACACTATACTGATACAGAGATGCATGGAAATGTATATCTTATTATTTGGGGAAAGAGGTTAGACGTCAGATGGGGTCGAAGGGAGGAAGGAAAACGGTGTAGAGAGAACAAGCCAACTCTGGCATGAAATTGCTTTTAGTGAGCTTAGATAGTTTCCCAAATACAACAGGGCTGCAATGCAGCTGTCTTTTTATTTTATTATTTTATTTTATTATTATTATTATTTTTTACTGTGTCTCCCTAACCTGTATCTCATTCCTCCAATGCCAGATTGCCTCCTATGCTCTGAAAAAGAGTATTCTGAATTTGCCAACCTGCACAGACTGGTGGATTTTAGAGCCTCCCCTCAATATGATGACCAATGCAAAGGCTCATTCCATTAATATCTTTTGTTTTTCAAAAAATATAGTCCCCTGTTTAACTAAGGTATCTTGTAGCAATCGTGATTCCAAACAACAATAAACACCATCAGCCAGGAACTTCCATGGTTTCCTTGAGCCCATCACGCAGGCCTTTGGGGTCAGTCCTACTTGTCACCCACAAGCTCAGAGCTGTTGAAGAATCTCTCAAGGTGGCAGCTGAGACCACCCCCCCAGTCCTTGTCTTCGGCACTGACTTTGCTGGTGTTTTACTGACATGGTTCATGGGTGATGTTATAGAAACTTCCAGCTTGTTCACTGAGGGTTCTCGTCTAAGGGCAGAAGAGGTTGTGGTTTGCCTGAGGACTCGGGTGCCTTAAAGTCTAGCTGTCACCTTCTCTTCCCTTGTCTTGGTAGCATGGGAGGAAGAAGACCATTCTTCCATCTGTGTTCATCCCTTCCTCTTGTAAGCAGCCACCACATTTGTTGGTAACCATGTTGTCATCCACTCTCCTCTCTTCCAAGTGCCCAGAGCCAGTTAAACTAAATTTTCATCAGCAGCAGTTAATTCATGCAGGCAACAAGGAGGGAGAAGAGCCCTTCACTCTTGAGAATTTGTTCCCACGAAGAATTTGCTGACCCACATGCCGGTGTTGAAGGCGGTCCCAGCAGGGGGTGCTGGCGCGGCAGTGATCCGGGGGCTTCTGGGGCGGAGCCTCGATTCATTGTATGCAGTGGAGCCATGTGCCTTGCCGGGTGCTGATATCTGAGGCCGCAGTTCAGGTCGGAGACATTATTTGTGCAAGGAGCTGTCTTTGAGGCATTTGGGAAAGTTAGCTCTAGGACCGGAGAATCATTATCCTCTCTGATTTGTGATTCACTGCTCTTCAGAACAGTGCCAGGGGACAGGATTCATGTGCTCAATTGATTCTGAGTAGGCGTTGTGTTGAGAGGGGTTTTGGACTGTCTTGGTCACATTGACCTAAAATCCTAGGAAGGAAATTTCCTTTAATATCTTTCTTACAGATGCCACAGTATGTGTCCTTCCTCCTTTATTCTCGTCACGAGAGTTCTCTCTGGCTCATGTGATACCGCCAAGGTAAACTGGGTCGCAACCACACAAAGAATTTGTTTGTCTACAATGTGTGGCAAGACACTGGTTCAGACAGGAGCTGGAGGGGAGAGAGGAGGGGTGGGCGGTGGTGGCACAGTTGGGCCACATCTCTTTGATTGATGGTGGTGGATGTATCCGTCAGCCCCACCTCCCCCCCCACCCCGTTACCCGTCTGCCTGAGGCACAGCTTCTATTTTCAAGCAACCACTAGGCTCTAAAACCTTGGCCCAGAGACCCAGTGGAGAAAAGGAAGGAGCCACTCAGACTCTAAACTGAGGCCTGTGGTCATGTCTTGGCACCAGCCACCCATACCAATCGCAGTGAAATCTGTGTTCCCTGCTGGAGGCCCACAATACCCAGTGTGTGCAGTGGAGAAACCCTCCTTGGAGGGATTTCTCAGCTCTGCAGTTTCCTCCGAGTGTTGATGGAGGCCAGGAGGAGAAAACCTTGGGGTGGGAGGGTCCCGGCTTCTCAGAAACATCCTGGGCTTGAGAGGCTTGTGCTTCTGTCCCTCCACCGTCAGCCCCACCGCGGAAAATGTGGAGCTTTGGGCTGTAGGTTGAAGGCTTAACTGGTACTGACAGCCTGGGGTGGGGGGCTGCCTCTCTGTTTCATCAGTCTCCCCGCCGTCATCACTCCCATCAAACAAAAGCAGATTTCATCCATCCCTGTGTGAGTCCACTCACCTTTGACCGTTAATAATAAGTTGAAAAATCTATCCCAATTTGAGCCCCTTCATGCAACCGCATAAGCCCTTCTTCTCCAATTAAAAAATGTCTATCTCTACGCAGAATTCCACAGGCAGAGCTCCAACAGCAATCCCCGGGCTTCCCTCGCTGGTGGTGGGGTTGGATGTGCCCATTGGACAGAGCTGGGTGCCTCCAAGAGCGGTGGTGAGAGTGGGCTTTTCATTAAATATGAGCAGATGTGAAACGTAGAGGGTTTGACAATTAGAAATGGCAGGAGAAGGGCCCTTGAATCAAAGTGAGGTCAGATGGGCAGATCAGATTACTTCTCTTACATTCTTTAGTTGTTCTGAAAATCATTTTGAATTAGTGTCAGCGGAGCCATGATGGGTTTTGCCCTTTGTCTTTTATGCTAAGGCTGTATTGTTTCCCAAGACACTCATTAAAGGTCATTATATTATTATAGAGCTTGCTTTGGTCGCAGTTTCCCAGTTGAGCGAGTGAGCTTTGGAGACAGCCTAATTCCTTCTCTTTTGCCTTTCGTCTACCCCTTTACTATTTTTTTTCTTATAAGGGGAAAGATTTCCGTTTTCAAGGGACGTTAAATGGAAGCACAAAGTCCCATTATGTATTTTCTGAAGTGGGAAGGGAAGTAGCCAGTCCCCAGGGGGGCGGCAGTATATTCCAAGTGTTCACGCAGTGTCAGAAACCCGCCTTCTAACAGCAGGGCCTGCCCGCGCCGCGCACCTCTCCTTGGCGGTGTGGCCCGTCCCCGTCCCTATGGTGGTTAAGCTGCATACTTTTCTCCCAGTAGTCTCCTTCGATAGAACTTGCGGGATGTAAGGCCACACTGTGCTGAGAAAAAGATTTGCAGAGAAGTAGGACTTCTTTACAAAAGACTTAAAAAGCAGTGTCAGATAAATATGAGTGACTCATAAGGATTCATCACAAGATTGTTCTATTTTGGGCAAGACTGAATGATTCAAGATGGTGGGCTGGAATTGGTATGCCTAGCATCATTTTCTGATCATTTCAATTTTGTTTCTCCTTTGGGGGATGCTGGGCAAAAGTACCAGATTGCTTAAAAGATGCTAAGATGGGGTGGGCCTCAGACTTTTCACAGGTAGCTATGTTATAGTACATCAAATATAAAAAATGTACATCTAGCAACATACACACATAAATATACACTGAGGTTCTAATCTGTTCCACTCTCTCTCCATGTAATTTTGCAAAATAGTACCTTTTCTCTGTTCAGGATTTATTCTTGTTATTTCAAATCTTGCTTGATATCTGATTTCTGAGTCTAACAGAAAGGGACAATTAAAATGATGATGCAGTGACAACATAGGACCCTATTGATTCAAACCTGCTGAGACCTGCCTGACATGATGCTGGCCACAAACCATCAGTAACCCCAGCATGAACAAATTAATCATGCGCTCAAAGAGGAACGGATCTTTAGACTTGCGCTTAGAAATAGTTTTAGCTAAGGGACGCATGTGATCACTCAAACCTTTCAATCTAGTAATAATTTAAACCTGCACAATCACATACACCCATTTGCAGACTACTGCAGCTCATTTTAAATGGTGCACGACTTTTATTTTGGGTAGAAATATATAATTTAAGGAGGCATTCAACTCCAATGGTTCGGTTGAGAGAAGTCCAATACGATTAGGTTGAAGGGAGACATACCAAAGTCAGTTTAGTGTAATCTTGAGTCTTGTCAGATAATAAACAAAAATCAGCTTATCCCGAGTAGCCTTTGGTTTGTACAGGCAGAGAATTAACATTGTCAATAGAACTAAAGTCACTTGAGGGGACTAATGGCATTTTGAAGTACATAAAATCAGATACTAGGGCAGGGGGTGGAAACAGCTCCAGGACAGTGTCTATAATGGGACAGACCCCGTGCTGGCAGTCACCGGCGCCTGTTGCAGGGAGATTTAATAAGCTGTGTTTGACAATCAGCAGCCTGCAATTTTCTCCTTTCTTTTATGTGTGTATAGTTTTGGGTGCCTTCTTCAAGCTCCCCGATCTGAAGTTGTATTTGTTTATTTTACCCTGAAACCAAAGAGTCTCTCTTCTTCCACCACTGCCATCAGTGACAGAAAGATAGAAAAAGGACAGCCGGATAGCCAAAGCAGACCCAGCCCAAATCAATTTACTCATAGTTTTCCATGTGTTTTTTAAAGCCCATTCATTTTGGAGGCACAGTTTCTCCCATTTTCTGATGCTTGCTCGTGTGGTGTCTCCCTCCCTCCCTCTCTCCCCTCCTCTTTCCTTCCCGCCTTCCTTCCCCCTCCCCCTCCCCCCCTCAATATCCATGACAGCAAACACTAAAGCAGCCTTTGGATTCTACCCTAGCTCTTTAGCTAGCCTTGGCGCATGTGCCCTGACTTGGCCATCTGCACTTCATGGCAGGAAGTGAAAACAGGAAGGCAACTTGACCTAGGCAACCGCTTTATCATTCCATGAGACTAATAGTGGGCCTGGGAGGGCGTCCTAGGGCACTCTGGCTGGTA